GGATTTGTCGAAATTTTACTTCATTGATTTTTAATAATTGTTTAAAAGTCAAAAATTGACATTTTTAGACTGATTTATCTCAGCAATGGATGAATGTATCAGGGTTCTCTCAACAGGGTTCGAAAGATCTTTGAAAATATAAAAAATCATTTGCTGGCAGCGGCAGTGTATAATGTACAACAAACATTCTATTTTAAAAATCAATATTTCCTATGTAATTAATTTGCCACTTAATTACATCAATCTTATTGTTTTACACCTTTACCTAGAAAACTAAAATACATAGGAAATATTGATTTTTAAAATAGAATGTTTGTTGTACATTATACACTGCCGCTGCCAGCAAATGATTTTTTATATTTTCAAAGATCTTTCGAACCCTGTTGAGAGAACCCTGATACATATATCCCAAATAACTAATATTTACATTTAATTTAATTATTTCAATCAGTTTTCAACAAAATGTTATGAATCTGATTCTCATTATAATAGCAAAGAAATTATTGATTTATGATTGATATTATTGATTATGTAATTATCCCTGTTAACATTAATATTTCGCAAATTACCTTTCAATACAATTATTTAAAAACACTAATTTCAGGCATTATGTTATTTGAACACATATTTAATATACTTATTGTCGTATTTCTACTATTTGTATTAAAAACCTTATGTTTATTTAGCGATTAATCTCACACTATAGATGAATATTAACCAGTATTATGAATAGCAATTAAATGATTATTGTTTTGGATTTCATGTATATAGTCCTAATTTAGGACTCCTAAATATTTTGTATCAATAAAATCTTTTGATTGATAAATTTAATAGTATCTCTACCATAAGAATTTTTAATTAATTGTTGTTCACTATGATTATAGATTTAATTATACCGATAGTATTAGCATTTAATGGATATTTAAATAATGATGTCTAATATGAACCCAATTGTGTGTACATGAGTTCACCACTAATTGATAGCATATTATCACTCAATGTTAAACGTATGAAACTATTGTCCAAATTATTTATTCAAAGACATGCAAATTATTTTTATACCCTTTTTTCGATAAAAAAAAGCGTATACTTAAATAATTCTGTATTTGTTTTATTTACTAATATATTAATTTGTATTATAGTTATTATTTCAATCTTTATTGTGTTAACATAAAATATAATAATATTGAAAATATTTTAGACTCGTTCATGATTTACTGTATTTTAACTTTAGATCTGTTGTGTTTCATATGCGAACGGACCAAATGTCCGGTCGATAGGGCAGACATAATGGACAGCTCACCGGCCAATACAGTGGCGCACACTATGGCCGCCAATTCACTCGCATTACTGCCCGCTATATCAGACGCACCCCTCACTCCCAATAGCTATACATATAATAAATTAATTAATTTATAAATTGCTATTTATTTTAAAATCATATTAACCTCAAGACAAGCACCCTGTGGCTGGAGTACAGTTCCCCCGCCTATAGTCCCCACTTCAATGGACGGCATCGTACTCGACACGTGCAGATCATTACCAATCACTTCCATTAGTGTTATGCAATTAGAACTGCTCACCACTTGTGTTGAGTCCATAGAAATACATGAGAAGTGATACAAATGTCTCATAAGAATAGCTCTTAATATGGATCTCATTCTCATTCATCAAATTCTGTTGACATTCTGTTTCCCAAAACTTGTTGTTTTGAATCTTAAGTATAGATTTGTGACAATAAATGAATTTATCGTTTATATGAAATCTTATGTTAGATTCCGAGGGATTATTAAACGGTTCCGTCTAATGCTTTTGAAATGGTCTGAAAATAAATATTAAAACAATAAAAATGTATAGAAATAACAGTATTTAATACATTTACCGCAAAAGTGGATCAATACTGGATCCACTACTCATCGACCATGTTTTATATGTGGATTGGACAGTCATATAAAATACAAATCAAGTCTAAGAAAATACCTGAATATACAGTAAAAGTTAAATATAAGATTGGATCTGAGGTTAAAACAATTAAAAGTCTTAAGACATCCATATGGAAAATGATATACAGTATATTGCTATTTGATAGTTGTATTTTGAAAATTTTATTTAATATTTAATTAAGTTAAGTATTTTTATTATATGAAATGATATAATATTTTATTTTTAACATAATTTTATGAAAAATGTACATTAATTATAGCAGATTTTCAAATACTTATCAAAGGTACCAAATCTCATATAAATAATAATTTTACTAATAGTCTCTTTCATTTTAATAATTTTCATTAAATTTATATTTAAACGTTTATTAATTTATACATGTACAGTATATTAATAGCGCTTATTTTAAGTCTAAGATTATAATTAGTACAATATTTCTGTTACCGTACATTTTTGAATATAAAAAATATTTGGACACATACTGTCCAAGGTAGTGTACAAAGGTATTTTAATCCATGATTAATGTGTATTATTTTTAATTCGGAATTTTAAATTTATATTCATTATCGATATTAATTGCAAATAAATTTGTACGGAATTCATAAATTCTACATGATGTTATTTATACCGTATTTTGTTAAATATTGAAAACACAGGTCCTTGAGCTCCAGTTCCCCGTATTCTTTGGCCAACTTTAGCAGTTGAGTGCAGTTGTTGTCATTGACTTCGGGAGTGAGTCCATAGAAATACATGAGAAGTGATACAAATGTCTCATAAGAATAGCTCTTAATATGTATCTCATTCTCATTCATCAAATTCTGTTGACATTCTGTTTCCCAAAACTTGTTGTTTTGAATCTTCAGAACAGATTTATTACAATAAATGAATTTGTTTTGCACTTTAAATGTGAGGTCAGAATCAAATGGATTGTTAAAGGCTTCCGAAAATTGTCGGTGAAATCGTCTGAAAAAAATAAAATGAATAAATAAATTGCAAACAAATACAAAGTAATAAAATAATTGTTTACCGAATAATTGGATTACAACTCAATTCACTAGTCATTGAGTCAGTAGATGTGATATTATCTTCACTCCTGAGGACATCTGAATCGTGACATTGTTTGTCACAAATGTAACTATTGGTTGAATGAGTTATTGGATCAGTTGATACACCATTCTCATCGGAATCACTCTTTTGTGGCAAATCCTTATTTAATAGCGGATCCAAGAGGTATAAATCGGATGCAAATGACTGCGTGGTCTGTGATGTAGTATTTTTAACCACTTTTGGTAGATTTTCTACATCTGATTCCTCCACATCAGACATATATATCTCTGAATAGCCATCTTCAGCGCTGTACTTATCATTTGAATCATTATTCCAGTCGTTATAATCGCAAGCAATTGGTTTCGCAGCAATCGATGTGTCCATTGATTTGATTTGTTCAGCAATTGATTCAAAAGTCATATCAAATCCGCAGAATTTGGCGTAAATGTTGAATAAAGAGAAACCAGTCGATGGCACCGGTATGTCAATGGGTCTAAAAGTAGTGCGATTATCTTCTTTGCCCAGAATATAGTGTTTGTAATTAAATGCGGTGACAANCCCAGAATATAGTGTTTGTAATTAAATGCGGTGACAATCACCACATTATTATCATATGTAGTGTTAATATATTTGAATCGCGTTTGTCGGTCAATACCAGGATCGATGGCATTGAATGAATGGTCGTATCTATCAACTGGTTTCCAAGAGCTGTAGCCATAAGTATAGAGTCGGTTATTATCTGCGATCAGCACCGTATGGTTTGGCCCACAAATGGCTCTCCAGAATCGGAGTCTAAATTTGTTATCATAGCAATACACCTCTCGGGGAGACCTACTGTATGTCTGGCCATGAGGTATACAGTGACCCAATTGTCTGCTGCCATTACTTCCCCAGACATACACTTTGCCGGTCACTGATAGGGCTGTCGAGTGGTTCTGACCACAAGATATGAAAGTGATCTCTTCGTCGATTGCGACTCTCGTGGGAACCGAAAGGTTTTCATTACTTTCAGCACCGGTTTGTCCGCAATCATTGCTACCCGAGCCGTACACCAACCCATCGAAGGTTAACCAAAGGGTGTGATTATCACCACAACAAACGCCAATTATCTTCTTGGGTTTGCATTTATTACTCAACACTTGTATGAGCTGTGGTGTAGACATGTCTTCAGTGGATCCGAGGCCGAGTTGTCCGCAAAAATTATGTCCCCATCCATAGCACTGTCCACTTGTGGTCAGTCCTATACAGTGACCCAAACCATAGATCATTTTCGACAATCCTTTGCCCGAAAGACTTTCGTTGAGTTGTGGTCTCTCGAAGTGGACATCACTTCCCACTCCCAGACCTAGTCTTCCGTATCGATTGACACCAAAACAGTAGACATTATAATCTTTGGTAACAATTATGACATCACTGCCATCGGATCCCAACACAGCCAACAGTTTGATGTTTGCGGTGTTGGAAATATATTTGCCTTTCAGTTGATACAACTGCGGGAACTTCTTAATGATATTAAAGCTATCCATTCATTTAATCATCAAATCTCACGTGTCATTCAACACACAATAATCAATTAAATGTTTGTTTAACACTTTGAGACACTATTTTGTACTCAAATTTGTTACAATTTTCAATAAATCTGATCATAAGGTACCATAAAATATAGTAAAACTATTTAAACAGTTGTGATAGTATGATCATTTTAATTGCAGTACACTATATGTAACGGTAAATTGGATTTTCATAACAATATCATAACATCCGGTTTATTTCAGTCATATAAGCGCTTATTTTAAAATTATTTTTCAATTCAATTTTCTAATACAAGAATAACAATTATATTTATTTACATATATTTCGTTATAAAAGCGGCGCCAAAAGGGTTGTTAATCGTTGTATTAAATTAACTATGGGTTA